AAATAAATAAATAAATAAATAAATAAATAAATAAATAAATAAATAAGTGTTCTGTTCTCTAGTCACAGCGAGAGTCCCTCCTTTGAAATTGGAAGTGGTGGTGGTATTAGAAAAAAGTGTTACATCTTTGTAACACTCGTATCATGGAACCTTTCTAAACAGAGAGCCGCAGTTTATGTATAAAAACATGTATAGCTCCGTAATCGTTTATCCTCGTCGTGCTGTTACTCCTTGTTTGAGTTCCATTAAAGTATCTGGTTATTGAGCACTCAATGTGACCCACAGCATAAACGATTAATCCAATTTTCTCCATTGCGTTTCCTGGCGTGAACAGGTTTTCTGTGCCAACTGAATTGAGTTTAGGGGCTTGTTGTTGGGTGTACAATTTGCAATATACTCTCTCGTTTTGCAACTCGATATTGTTCAGTATTTCCGTTGGAGTACTCGAAATAAAAGTTCGCATGAAGTTCCCAACCACAAAAAAGTAGGTGCAAAAGGAAGAATTGTAATTCGATGGTATTGTTTTGTTGATTTCAGGTATGTTATGGTTTTGAATCAGATCCCATTGAGCAGATCTGTGATAGACTCGATCGTCAAGAATTCGTCGAAATTCTAAAGAAGATGTTGGTGCTCAATCAAGACTTCCGTTTGACACCTCTGGAAGGTCTCGAGCACAAATTTGTCACAATGAGTCATCTTCATGCTTACGCAAATACAAACTAGTGAGTTTTGCATAGAGTATCACTGTCTTGTCACCGCTTTCTGAGCAAATCTTCTGTTTTTTTTTCTTCATTGGGAGGAAGCTTTAACCCATTGACGACCGCGCGGCCCGCCGGCGGACCGCACCATATTGTGCTCCTGTAGTATTTATATAATTTACCAAGTGTTCTTGTAATTTTTTTCCATGTTTTCAAGTATCAGCTGAGCTCACAACATTCTAGAGAATCTTGCGGCATCGTGCTAGAGGAAGCATTCACTTCCAACTACAGTTATGAGAGAAATTAAAAGTTAATGTAAGGACCATGTAAAAACCGCGGTCGCCAGTGGCTTAATCATTACCAGAAATCGTTTCGGAGATTTTTTTTACGAGCTTTGCATTTGGAAATGCTAATGATGACTGTCTTTTCGAAATATCCCGTTTTTTGAAGTTATACAACGAACGACAAATTTACCAAGGTAATGTACTCCTTCGAAAAAAACACCTTTACAATTGCGAGTTTCATTTAGGCCTAATGTAATGTTTTGAGGAGAAGAATTGAAAGAAAGTGGAAACTTAGATGAATAAAACAAAAAATACAACTGCAGTCCACATGTGGACTGCATGGTCGTCAGTGGGTTGAAAACAGCTGAGGACGGAGAGAACCGTTAGGAACTGATATTACAGTTTCCGTACCAGTATGAAAAGGATGGAAGTATGTGTGCGGCGTCCAACGACCGTCGTTAATTCTTCTGCTCAGCTTTTCCGCGGTGCAGCTCCATCTACACCGATTACGCAGAGTGTGTTTGTTGGTCATTCTCTATACAGTATTGTGTGTTGCTATAGATGGAGAAAAATTTCGACTCACTATTATTCCTTCCAATCTTTCACATTGAGCGACCTTCCGAATCACAGTGACCGCTTATAACTATAGTAACAGCTCTACCTACCGCGCTTCCAACCGCCCAACAACTGCCGCCAGCTGCTCAACCCGATCCTTTGAGCCATGTTCTTCATCAATACCAGACCGTGGCTGCCACTACAAATCCCTCGACTGCAGCTGCTGCACAGTATTTCTATCAACCTCTTGCTACTTTGTTACCATACGGTAAGTATTTGATTTACTGGTTTAAATTTAAATTTTTTTTGCTGAAATCTGCGTTTGTTTTTAGTGCGCTCTGTTTGAACGCTAGGGTGCAACACCGGAGCCCTTAAAAAGGCGTCAACGCTAACAACGAGAACTAGGGTTTTTTCATTGAAGGCATAGTTCAGGATGATTTTGGGTAACCCAGATCATGACGGAATATGGAGGATAAGATGGAAAGTAGTGCGATAAAGGCGATGAAACTGCGTGAATCGGTGTTTCCAAAGCGAAAAAGGTTTAGAAAAGTCGTCAGAAAGGGAAAAAACCGGAAAAATGGAGGATTGGGACGTGAACGAGCTGTACAACTTGCATCATCGCGTACTTGTAGGTCCTGGTGCGAATGGCTGTCTACGATAAGCAAAAATTCATTCACTCATAAGCATAAGTTAACAAAAAACCCTAGTAACAGGAACCTTTTTCAGCCTCTTGGGGTAGAAAATTAAGTTAGGGATAGCAACGGCAAAAAAAGTGACAGAGAATAGAAGAACAGGAAAAAAACATCGCCTCATTACTCAGGTGCTGATTGTGTGTGGGTCCTGGAACGAATATTGCAATCTGTATTGCCTTGACACTCGTCTGACACATCATCGGTCAGTGGGAGTGGCATCCGACCGATGGTGTGTCCCCAGAGCTACGACCGACCGCTGCTCTTGTGCCGTAGCTCTGGGGTTTTTGGGCCCGACAGCGTCCTTTCTTTTACCCTTGTGGGCCACTGGGTAATCCTGAGGGGAATCTATAGAACTGCTTTTATCTTTTTGTGCCCTTAACTGGTAATGAGCGCCTGTCCACCATATGCCCATCACTAAAATTGGAACGTTCGAATGGCGTTTCATGAATTTATCACGGAATTTTGGGCGGGCCATATTTAATTTTTTATGTAAGTGTATGTTCTTTTTCATGAATTTATATATGTATGTATGTGAATGTATGTACAGCTCCCAACGAGGCTTCTCAGAATTATAATCGTGTCCTGCTATTCCTCCTTTGAATGCAACTAGACGACTTTCGAGGCCAGTTTATTCATACAGAAAAACGAAGTAATGCAGAGAAGGGCTAGATAATGGGTGGTTGTAGGGTGGGGAGTGACTGGGTCCATTGTCGTCGTGTCGACTTGAAGATTAATAGTCTTCTATATAAGGAGCTGCTCGTATACTGGCGATCTCGTCAAAATCAAAGAGTCGAACAAACATTCAGCTCGCATTCCGCGAATTCTCAATTCTCATTTCTCTTAGTTTATTGCTAAAGTTTATTCATAAAGTCTTGTTTAACTTAAATTTTGACGGACATTAGACATTTCAACTATCCCTATCTCCCTACAGTAATTGAAGTCTTGGGCAACCAGGTGGCTATTAAATTAAGTGATTCTTCGTGAACTTCGCGACCATATTTCGCCATTCTAAAAGAGAGTCACCGTCGACGAGAAGGGATAGGTTTGGCAGGACGATACTATCTGGCCTTAGTTTTCAGTGCCGTTCTCGGGAACATCTTGCGTCATATGGAGTAGAAAGGCATGCAAGTCAAGATCGACGGCTGCTACTTATTATACATCATCTCCGCTTTACATGCGACATCGTGCTTTCAACGAAGAACATAAGTGCTGGCTGAGTATGACAGTGCTTATGCAAAGATCGATTAAGACAACTTAAGGAAGACGACATAATATGAAAAACGAACTGGTGCCTGATGCTCCTTTTATGCTTACGAACAAGTATCTCTGGATGCTTTAGCAATGCGTATTTAGGTTGAAATGTTACAATGATAAACGACCTAGCTCCTGAGCTAAGTAAGAGAGAAAGCACGGCGAGGGGAAACATCGAGGAAGTAGTGAAGAAGGCAAAGAACATCCGGCCCAATGCTCCGTTCGACATTGTAGTCCTCGCTCTCTTAACAGACCTCGGAGACAGGGGAGTATCTAGACTTATCATGTCGATCATCGACTTGTCGTTGCCTACGTCAAGGAATCGAGAATCATTTCGGACGGGCACGTAATGCCATTTTTCATTGACCATGGGACGTGGGCGGTTAATGGCTGAGTCCCTGGAGACTTCAAATAAAGACCAGGACCGCCGCCATGGTGCGTCCGCTCGAGGAAATGGAAATACAACGAGGCCTTGGTTGATACTAGTGAAAGATATCAAAAAAGCATGGTAGGTCAGTGGTCACTTTTGTGAGCGGGGATCAGATCAAAAAACTATATCAGTATTGAAGATCGTCCAGAGCTCGGAAAAGGTTGGTCGAGATTGGCAAATATGATGATACCAAAAATTCATGGTAGGGGGGTGAGGCAAGAAAGCTTAGTTCAGATCAGAAATCTAGATCCATATTCAAACAATCCAGAGCCTGGTGAAAAGTATGGATTAGGTTGTTAGGGTAGTATTTTGCAAGTCTTTTCGTTTTTTTAAGAACAGAGTTTTTGTGATTTCCGGATTTATCGATTCTTGATCGATACCCATGGTCTATCACGTGGCAGTTGTACACTACTCTTGTAGCGTCTCCACAATCAGCAATGAACGGCACTGGAGCAATGGTTACCGTTCGTAACACCAAGACCGCATTGGGAGAGCCGTCACTTTTATCAGCACCGTCTAATGCAGATTTCGCTCGTTTTGAAAGGGAACGCGCTGGCTTCGAAGACAAGACTCTGTCGTAAAGCACTCACAGTGTGGAAGAAATGAACACTCTCAATGTTGTCAAAGAGGATCCCGAGTTTAGCATCCGCGATTCCGCCACGAGGCTCGTGTGTACCCATCCAACAGTCCTCAGTCGCCTCTAGTCTCTTGGTTACAGGAAACTGTTAACTGGCTCTATCCCTCATGCATTGCCCGAAAGCGCGCAGCTCACCAGGAAGTTCATTTGTCAATTTCTCCTCCGCATGCACTGTGGGGAGTTTCTGAGAGATCTGGTCACAGGAGATGAAAGTTGGGTCCTCTAGGATTCTGATACTCATCGTGTCGTGTGATTCTCCTAGGGTAAGACTCACGGACACAGTTTGGCCCAAACTCTGGAAGTGTCTTCTCTGCTGCTTCACGGTTTTACAAGGAATGTCTTATTACGAGTTGCTGCCGCGAGAGGGCGTGCTATTCACGCGTATCCCTATCAGAGCTCTTAGCGCAGGCAGCACGCAACGCACCACTGTGCAGGTTATGTACATGTTTCGATGCGATCACTTCAGTACCCTTCAGTTGAGATGGACCAAACGAAATGTGCAGCAGTCCTTGGCTTCACCATGAAATATTGCAAATCTCTTTACTATGGCAATGAAGCTCCTTCGAGGTTAAGAATTTACTTCATAGGTCAACAATTTACTTGTCAAACTTTCAAAACAGAGTAACTTCAAAATATTTCGATCCTAATGAGCGCAATCCTTCTGTGAAAACGCACGGCTGGTCATTTTTTACTCATCGTTTATAGGTTCCTATATCTGGCATTATGTTGTTGGCATGATGTCATAGCTCGTCTCGTCCACGCACCACACCGCTGCCGCGAGAACACATGGTCACTGGTAGCATTTGCGCCATTGAGCTCCAAAACTTGTATGTATATAATATATACAAATACATTCTATTTACATTTCACATGTATCACCTGTCGTCCCATTGGTCACCCATTTCCCCGAGCGGGCGCCACTAGCTTTTGTCGCTAACCAGAAAGGGCAAATGGATTGTTCGCGCTTCATAGTCACGAAGCATAGCATTCCTTCCTTCCAGAGTTTCGTGAGAGATTCCGACCTTTTATGTCTCGAACGATCCAGTCAATATCCCTTGGTCCAACGGTGATCACGATGTCGCATAACGTGTCCAGCCCACCTGATATTCGATTTGTTGGCATAGTCAACGGCATCCCTTATCTTTGTTCGTTGACGGAGCTCAAAACTCGGGCTTTCCTTCTGCACTCGCATGTATTGGGTTGTAACATAAGTTCGTAGAGTTTTATGTTGGAGTCATTTTACAACGAATTGCTTTGTTTTTTCGCGAAGTGTATATAGTCATTCGAAAGAGCTCTTTCTCCCTATAAAACAGTTCTATTCGTTGTTTTGGATAACCTAGTTGTACGTCTTTTTTTGGCTCAGAATTTGAATATCTAGGAGGAGAAAATCGGCATTTTCGACATTTGCTTTTCATCGAGGCCAATATGCAGCCGAAGCCGCTCGGGACATATGCAGTGTGTACGAGGAAGGTGTCTTGGGTGTGTCTCTGGGTGGCGCCAGGAGAGACACCGAAGCCGAGAGTCAAGCAAAACCTTCACTCAAAAAAGGTCATGATCTTGAAAGGCATGGTGCACTGGGAAATAATCGAACGAAACGCTACTGACAACAAGGAGGTCTACATTGCCCAGCTAAACCGTGTTAGTGAGGTTATTCGGCTGAAAAGACTCGATAGACAAGGTCAAATCATCTTGCTCCACGACAACGCCAGGCCCCATAATGCCCAGGTCGTCAAAACAACACTCCAAAAGCTTGAATGAGAGGCTCTTCAGCATCCACCGTACTCTCCGGATCTAGCACCTACCGACTACCACCTTTCCGCTCTCTGTCAAACCAAATGAGGGGTGTTACCTTCGATGGCGAAGAGTTTGTTAAAAACTGGCTCAACAACGTCTTCGACAGCAGACCGGCCGATTTTTGGCGAAACGGCATCAACAAATTGGTCGATAGATTGGAGGAGGTCGCAAACAGTAATATGAGGAAACATCACTGATTAATTTGTTGTTATAATAATTATTTTTTGTTAAAATAAATCTTTGTGAAAAAACTCTACGGACTTATGTTACAACCCAATATATGGTGAATCCGAGCATCGCCTTCCCGAAGCGCGTTGATCAAAGCTGACAGCATGTTCATCCTGTATTTGTAGAATCCAATCCTCCGAAGAAGGTCAGCAGTTTGGATAATGTGAGCGCGGAGCCGATGTTCTTTTCTCTTCAGTACTCCCTCAATATTCTTGAATGCTCCCCACGCTGCGCGT